GGGCCCCTTTTATTTGGAGTCAAAGTTTTTGAAACCTTGGGCCCGGTTTTTTCTTGGTCCGGGGGGGGGGGGGGGGGCACGCATTTGGTATAGTGCTTGTCCTTGGGTGGAGGTGCTAAACGTACAGGGACGCGCAACGGGAGGCACTTAATTGGTGAGCTGATTGTCCTTGTGGAGGTGCCACCAAACATCCATCCAGGACAATGATTTTGTCTGTTCACGTTGTTGGCGTCGACGATGAGATACCTGATTGCGATGGTGGAAGATAAACCGGGTTCAGACCCCGCCACCCACCGAAACATATGGTGGAATCGCGCCATCAAGTCGTGGAGGGGAGCTAAAACACAGAATTTCAAACGTGTATTACGTGTGTGGAAATACTGGGGACGCGGCGGGCGTAGCTGACCCACTAACGACAACACGCTCAGAAGACTGTGAAGAGCTGAACCAATCTGCTTGCCGCCACTCGATCGGGTTTTTGGTCCGGTTTCCCCTAAGGAGTCAAGCACGTAAATCCTCCCCAGAAAAAAGGGGGCACGACCGAAACAAGCAAGCAAGCAGAGTGATAATCTACCGCCGTTACCTATACCCAAAACACATTAATTCTGAAAAGGTTAACACATCAACACACACCAAAACAATGGCCGCACACCTTGTCTCGTTCGCCGACGAGAAGGAGCTGCAGCTCGGACGTCTTTCTTGTGGTTGACGCCTCCAGCTCGGCGAACTCCGCGCGGTGCACCGCCACCTGCTCCTTCAGCATGTCCACCTCTAGCCCCGCCTGCGTTCGTTGTTGTGCCGTGCGGTTTGTGTGGGAATACAGTTGTATTGCTTGCTTGTTGTTGTTGTTGCTGCTGCTGCTGTTGTTGTCTTCGCATTGAAAACCGTTCCGGCATAAAATCTCGGAATAATTAACTTGCTCTCCCGAGCGCAGACGTCAGTTCCACAGCACCTCAGACAGCAGTAGTGGCCCAGAATATTCCTCACACCACTGGCTGTCATCGCTGGGTCTCCGCTCTTTTACCTCCTACAGTAGTGTCCGTACTGGTCCAACTGAGGCGGACGCCTTGAGTGTACTGGAGATATTTCACTGTAGTCGTGTGGTAGTGTTTGTGCCTCTTGGTGCTGAGGTGTTTGGGGGGGCTTCGTCGCGTTCGATGGCAATGGCACACCTAACCCTAAGAGCGACGCTGGAGTTGTGTTGTGCACCGATCGAATGTCTGTTGTGGGGCGAAAGTATGATTCGGTATTATCGTGGTTGCACGGGCCGAAAGAGGTGTGCACGCAGCGTGGTGGCGAAGGAACTTCTTTTTCTTCTGCGGCGGCGGAGAGAAAAAATCACACTTCAAGACACGTTGCCGTATCGTTCGTACGATCTATATACGGCGAGCAACACCACGCATATGACAGAAACGCACACATACCCCCTTTTTATTGGCCAACAAGCAAACACACACACGCATCGAGACAGACACCCACACACCTGTCGCAAAGATGAGCACTTCTCCGCGTGCGCCACCCCAAGCTGGCTGAGCTCGAAGCTCTTGAGCCGAAGCTCGCTCCGCACCTCGCCCACGGCCGTCTCGTGTGCCGCGTCGGACTGCGGCGGAGGAGTAGCGTGTAGCGTCAGTGTGTGGTCGGTCAATGGGAAAGGAGGAAGGGAGGGAGGGAGGGACAGACGGACGGAAGTTAAATCCCAATCTCGTGATCAATTCTTATGCGTCGCAAGGAATCAGTCATTTCGTCGGGCAGAATGACCTAAAGAATAATCAACGGGGGCTCCTGGCTTATTAATAGTCCAAAGACTGTGGTTGCGTTGTGTGTGGTATGCATATTCCCGCACATTCATGTACCCATCCCCACGTTCGTGCGAACGACCGATCAACCTTAAACTTGTACGTCGAGACGGAACGCGCCGACATTTCTACCGGAGCGTTCGAACAAAAGAGAGGGGCAGCTTTTTTCTTTTCCGGGCGAAGAGGTGAAGAACGAAGCAACCCAGCCGTCTCGCTGTGGCCGCTGTTTAGTTGCCGGCATGGTTGTCCCTGATCCGATTCTCGGTTTTCGGTGCCCAGGCGACAGACACACCGCCCCGATTTTCCGCTCGCTTTCCGCTGAACACAAGCACACACCCCGACACCGATGTAAGTGATCCGTTCCTTCCCTCTCTCCTCAGTTGCCACCGTATATTGGCGCACCTTGGCCATGGTGATGACGAGGTCTTCGTGGGCCCTCTGCAGCTCGCTAAGCTCGCTCCGCACGCGGGACAAGTCCTTGGCCGCGGCAACAGCAGCAGCAGGCGCGGTTTCCCAACGCGCGCACGACGACGACGACAAAATGACGGGGGGTGGCAAGGCGAATGGTTAGCACAGGGTAGAGAGTGAGAGAAGAAGGGTAACACAAGGGCTATAAAGAAAGCGGTCAGCGTAGAATCATCACCATCGCCAACCACGACGACTACGACAACAACAACATCAATAACATCAACAACATCAACAACAACAACAACAACAACAACAACAACAACAACAACAACAACAACATCGACAGCCATCATCAGCTCGACAAAGTTACCCACTGTCGCATACCTGCAACGCGTCCTTCCTGGCCTCCCTGAGGGTCTCGTTCTCCCTCTCGTACACCTCCCTCCCGCTAGCCCGGATGTCCGCCAGCTCCTTGGCGCTCTGCTCTCGAAGACGGCCAACCTCCGCCTGTCAAACGTTGTTGTTGTTGTTGTTGTTGTTGTTGTTGGTGGTGGTGGTGGTGGTGCCGGGGGGGAGGGTTCGAGGCGGCATCATGATACCACCTCTTGCAACGTGCACGTAAAACATCAACGATACTGCTCCCCCGAGAAGATATTCCGTTCGAAAGGATTTTCGACGACTAGTCTATACGCGGGCGGCAAGTACGGCAGGCACGAGTCACGATCGCACTACTCGTGTTCCGTGTTACACACAAGTGTAGGGCGTCCCACCGAAGAGTGTTGTTGCGGTTTATCTCCATTTTTCTGTGTGGGTCCGTGCACAACGTGTCCCTGCACTCTCGTAAGCGCATACCAGGTACGTTTACACACCTCCAGGCGCTCCTCGTGCTCTGATCGCGTGCGCTCCCGAACCGACACCAGTTCCGCCGCAAGCGTGTCCTTGGACCGCTCCAGGTCCCGGAGGCGCTCGCTCACCGCTTCGGACTCTCGGTCTAGCCGGTCGGCCTTGTTCTGAGCCTCGGAGAGCTGTGGTTTGTTGTTTGCCGTCGTTGTTGTTGTTGTTGTTGTTGTCGTTGTTGTTGCCGTTGTTGTTGGTGATGGTGGTGTTGTCGTTGTTGTTGTTGTTGTTGTTGTTGTTGTTGTTGTTGTTGTTGTTGTTGTTGTTGTTGTTGTTGTTGTTGCCGTTGTTGTTGTTGCCGTTGTTGTTGTTGTTGTTGTTGTTGTTGTTGTGGTTGTTGTTGCCGTTGTTGGTGGTGGTGGTGTCGTTGTTGATGTCGTTCGTGTCGGTGTGGTCGTTTGGTTGTTTGCGCGATCGCGGGGATGACAAAGCAGGGGCGCGGGATGGGTCGGGGTTGCACAGTAGTAGGCACAGTTCTGCTGTTGACTTCCCGGTACACACAACCTGCATGCTGTCATTGATGCAAACTCCATAACACGATATTTAATTTGTAGTTCTCGAAGTTTACGAACGCATGTACGGCAACAGTCTAGCTGATTGCCCTGTACATGCTAAACAACACGATCTACACCTTTTCTTCAACCAATCAACGGAAACAAGGAAGGCCCCTGACGTCGTTCGTGTTGGTGAGATGAGAAGAAAGAAAATTACGAGCGTTATTTGTCCTCTCACCTCTCGTTGGAGGTAGGTCTTGTCCATCTCCAGCATCAAACTGCGTTGGGAAGCGTCCTGTGCCACGCGGAGAGGCACAGAGCACAGCCAAAACAGAGAAAAGCCGAGGCCGACGGGTGTTTTTTTTTTTTTTGTCGAACCACGAGAACAGACGTGCGCGGAAAAGGTCCATCAATACGGAGGGACGGACGGACACGAACAATAGCCAGAACGTCGGCGGAGCGATAGACATGAGCCCAAAAGAAGGCAATAAATCCCGACACCAATAACATGAAGAAAACACGTTGAGAGAAAAATGAAAAAACGTTAAACAAAAACTTGATACTTCTTTCTTTCTGCGACATACTGGCATATATATTAAAAAAAAAAGGTACACGTGCATATATATATAAAAAAACAAAGTAACAGGTGCGTGTGCGTTCGGTGTACAGTGTACACACACAGAGCTAGCGAGCTACCTGAGCCGTCCTTGCCGCCGCCTTCTCTGACTCGGCAACTTCCACCAGCGCCGCGGCCTGGCTCTTCGACAGGGCCCTGGCGGCGTCGAGCTCCAGGCGGGTCGTCCTCAGGAGGGACTCGACTTCGTCGAAGCCGCGGGCCTTGTCGCTGTTCTCGTCCGCCGCTCGCTGGGCCTCCCTCGCCCTGCCGCTCATCTCCTCGGCCCGCTCTCTCAACGCCTCGAGGTCCACCTTCAGACCCTCCTGCAACAGGGGGAGGGAGAGGGACGAGTGCGGCCGGCCCTAACGATTGAGTTCAGGACCGCCTGCGCGACATAAATGAAGCGTTACATGTGAAATAGAGAGGGGGGGGGTCGTAACCCTAACCCTCACCCGAACCCCTGCCATAGCCAAGATCATTACAACCCTCGCGAAGCCTACTGCCTTGATTTCATCAAACAACGTTGCGCGCGGAGAACATTCGTGCGTAAGCGTCGTTCGTACGTTGAAGTGTCGACACATGGACGACGAACACACAACCTGTTGTACGCCAAGGTGCTATGGGGTTGCGGTTCCTGAAAAAAGGGGGCTTCTGTTGCTGACTTTCCTCACCTCCCGCGCGGTGGCGAGTCGACGGGCCCTAGCATCCTCTCTGCGCTGCAGCTCTGCAGTTTCCGTTGTGGCCAGCAATTGCTCCTGCGTCTTCTCGAGCTCTCTGCGGGATGATTTGATTTGATTGATTTTTCGCGAGCCGGTCAACGTAGGGGCGCAATCAACACAACAGCGCATCAAGACGCGGCACACGTATGGTAGTAGCACGCACGGCATCAGCAGCGACGGCGGCGGCGTGGAATCGTACCGTGGAACCGTACCGTGGAACTCCTGGTGTCATCATCAGTTGAAACACACACGAAACGAAAACACCCTCGTACTTTGAGTAAATCATACACAAGCTTACAACAAAGACAACCCCCCCACACGTGCACTGCAGCAAGAAGAAAGGGAGAGTGTGTGCATAGGAGTTCGGTGTCTTCGATGGACCTCCCACACCCCCACACACGCCGCCCGCTGCGTACAAGAAGCAGCAAAGAGAAGGACACAGGAGGAGAACACGCACGCTCTCGCCTTCTGGTGCGCTCCAGCTCTGCCTTGCTCGACGCCACCAGATCGTACGCCTTGAGTGACACGTACTCCTGGGGACAGACCACGGTCACGCGACAGATTGGCCGATGGCAAATGAAAGACCGTGCCATCACATGAAAGACGGTGCCATCACGTGAAAGACCAACCATCGCATACATCATCGTCAGGTTTTCATGACGAGTCACACGTACATAGCGCAACCAAGAACAGGCGTGTATTTCGAGCGGGGTCATGATGTAAGAAAAATGTCATGTTTTCTTAAGCAGTGTCCAGAGAGAGAGAGAGAGAGGGACGGACGGAGGGAAGGAGGAAGCACGCAACCCTAGAACACCTGTAGCGCTCCTCTCTCGCACATTGCGCGTGTGGGGGGAGAATAGGGAGACGGAAAACCACGCGCGTGCGTGGGCACACATCACGAAAACAAAGGACGCAGAACGCAGGGGACACAGCAAACAACAATCTTCCTCAAAAATAGTCAAGAAAGTTACTGTATGTGGTGACCAGCAGCATGCAGAATGCATACACCTTACCTTAACGGTTTGTTCCTCCTCGGGTACTCTTCTCAGCTCCCTCGCCAGCGCGTCGCTCAGGGCCAGGTCCTCGTACATGTCCTTCTTGTCCCGCAGCCGCGCCTCCAGCGAATCTCTGACACGACGTTTTCACAAAAGTGCCGATCAGTCAGTCAGTCAGGCAACGTGCGACACAGCAGGAGTTCACGGATCGACCACCCGAAAGTTCACCATCACAAACGAGACACCAAACTAAGCGCCGCCACGCTCATTGGCTGGCTGCCTCTCTTACTACATGGGCACAAAACCAACACCGAAGTCAGGGAGGTCATCCATCAATTTTATCTTTCCCTCACTCCTGCTGAGCAGAACACCGCACTCGTCGCCACTGGCTGCTCATGTGTGCTGCTCTTGCTCCCGCACAAAGAAAGGCGAGACAGCAACCCCTCTCCCGGTTACATGCACAGAGATATCACTTGTCGCAATCGAGCACCCAACCCCTTTCGGTTCAACATCTGAGATAGATACCCTTCAATTTGGGCGTGAGCCCGCCTGCTGCGTTCCTGCTTTCGGGCAGAAGAGGCGGAAGACGTGCAGCGTCGACACCAACCGAGAACCAACTGTCTGTTTGGTGCACTACGGGGCTAAAGCACGCAGGGGTATAAAGGAAGGTGGTGAGGGGGCTACTTGGTACGGAGGAACGGGAAGAGAAGGGGTACAGGGCGCCGTCACCTCTCGATCTCGGCCATCTCCTGGCCCTTCTTCAAGGCCGCCACCTGCTCTAGCCACCGCTTCTCGAGGATCTGAACCTGCGATTCGTGTCTGATCACGGGTGTTTCATTGCCGTTGGTTGATCAACGTCACCAAACACGGAGGAAAGATAAGCAATTAGGGTTGCGTGGGTGCGTTGGGGCAGAGGCGGAGTTTTGAGCGATGTATAGACGGCAACAAGCGCCAAGACAGCCGCCACCCGCTGAACATCTGCGGTACTGCACAAGTTTGGTCGTGCCGAATTGTAGCCCCTCCCGTACGCTATCGCAACCACTGTCTGCCTCTCACTCCATTCCGAAACTGGGAATCGATTCACACCCATCCTTGCGTTGTGTCTGTTTCTGGGTGCCTGTCTGTCATCTGTCTGTCTGTCTGTCTGACTGTCTTATCTTAACGCACCTCGCCCTCTCCTGCCTGAGGTCTCCCTCGAGGCTGCCCCTACGCCGCTCTAGGTGCACCAGCTCCTCCTGCAGGCCCAGCACACGCGCCCTCACCGCCGCTTCCCCCCCTGGAAGTTCGAGCCCCAGCCCCTGCAGCAAGTTCCTCCTTTGCTGCAGGGCCGCCAAGCCGCCCAACGCACCGCCGCCGCCGCTGCCGTCCGCGGGAGGATGAAACGTCTGTCCAAGCACGTTAAACAGAGCAGCCTCGTCCTCCGAAAACGGTAGCTGCAACGAGAGCGTGGCCGAGGAGGAAGAGGCGGTGTCTTCCGAAAATATCCCACCGCCGGCGGCGCCGGCGCCGGCGCCTGGGCCACCACCGCCAAGGAAACGGAGGGAAGACGACGCGATGCCGTCCTTGAGTTCTATCCCCCCGTTGCCGCCGCCGGTAGGACTTCGCATCCAGGATTCGGTGTCGTCGTCGTCGTCGCCTCCCGTAGTGGCAGAGGACGAGGTGCCCGAGAATCCGGTACTGCTCTTGCCGCTGCCGCCACCACCGCGGAGACGAAAGCCCCTCGCTGTGGCGCCGCAGCCGGCGGCGGCGTTGCCGTTGCTCCTGCTCGACGAGTCAGAGACGCCACCGCCGCCGCCGCCGCCGCCGTCGTTCCCCCGCTGCCGTCGCCTGGGGGGGCGGCGGCGCGCGGACGAAAGCACCGCGGTCGTTGCTGCTATCGCTGCCGCCGCTCCCGGCCCCGGCGCAGAGGACGAAGGAGGTGGCAACACTGCTGTGGCACCGGTGCTGAGTTGTTTCGTGACGTTTTTCGAGAGCACGATCGTTCGGATTGAGGATATATTGGGTCGGGTCGGGTATGTGTCATGAGTGGTGCAGTGAAGGGCGACTCTTATGGGCGGTGCCATCACGTGTTCTGCGTTTTAGTGCACGCTGCTAGTATAGGTCGGGTTGCTTTGCGATCAGCGTGGAAACAGATGCAAGGTGTTCATGGCGTAAGCGGACCATTGATACCACCTACTCACATGCTGTGCTCAAAAACCTCCCGGGCCTGCCAAGGGTGCGTACGGCCGTCGCCTCTGCCTGCAGCGTGAAGGACGAGCTGCACTTGGCTGATATGTAGTCTAGTACTTAGAGAGTTACGCATTACAGCAGCTCAATACTGTACCCAACGCTGCTGTGTACGTATACGTACTGGAACTGGTGAACATAGCCTCACCCACCCACGCTACAGTTTACGTGCTGGTGTTGGGAGTGGTGGCAAGGGTAGGCCCACGCCTTCGTGAAGAGGATGGAATGCACCTGATCACCAACAGAAAAAAAGACAGACTACTGTACATGCACACACCATCCTGTCGCCGGGTGGTGAGTCTCAACCCGCTCCCTCCCTGCGTACCACCCACGTACTTCGAGGGCAGAAGCTTCGGGTGCATGTGTCTGCTGTATGGCACCAAACACTTATCTATGTTTTACCGCATACAGTTTACACCTATTTAGAACAAGAGTATGCCAAACCCAGCCCGTTGTAAACCCTCGCACGCTCCCGTGGCCTCGCGGTTTAGATCCAGAGCGCCAAGAAGAGCGCACTACTGCTGTACTACTGTGCAATAGTCGGGCCGACTTGCCGACTTTGAAGTATGCAATGCTGGAGTAATGTTCTCCCGAAACAGAGAAAATGCATGGCACACTTCGCGGCGGGCGATGTCACCACCAGATGGACACACCTTTTCACACAAACCCACCAGGCAACGTACAAAACTGATGCCTGATTGTGCTGGTGTTGCTCGGGAATGGCTTTGAAACCCCTCTGGGGCGTACGGCAGGTGCACGCAAAGTGTGTTTCATTGTCCAGACGCAATCCCGGTCCCGTCCATCATATATATGCGTATTGTAGACTTAATGGATCAAAGATCTTTCCCGCCATTTCACAATCAGTAGTTCAAAATGGACACACACCACGCGCGTTTTGTCACAGAGGAAATCAAAGCACCTGTCCAAGAAGAAGCCAGTCCGCCCTCCCCTGTTGCTTGGTTCCTCTTGGACTCGTCCCTCTTCCTTCTCCTCCTCTTCGTCATCGTCTAGCTCGTCGTTGCTCTCCAGCGGAGTCGTGGTGCGCAGAGAGACGAGCTCGCCGGGCGTGATCGACGATGAGATCCTGAGCTCGCTTGCCAAGGCCATCACCCGGCGATCCTCGTCCTCTGCAGCGGTGTTTCCCTCATGCATGGCAGCCACCGGATCACCGACCCCATGACGGGGTTCTGCCGGCTCGCCTTCGCTCATCCCCGTGCAGAGTAGTGCGTGAGAGGCAGGATCCGCAACAGAGCAGGGGTTCACCCGGGGATGTCTACGCCTTGTCCCCGGAGTTCGCTTTGGATTATGGTTCCCGTAGAATGGCCGTTGGTGCAACAACGCGGGGAGATGTATGCCGGGCCAGTAGCCAGCTTGGCGTGTGTGCACAGCAGTTTTTGCAGCGCCAGTAGTGCTCATGAGGACGAGAGGGGGCTCGTTGCGGGGTGCCGCAGCCGAGAATCTGGCTCTCGACAAGCATGCCACTGCACGGAGGAGCCGTCGTCGAAGCACGCGTGCTTTCGGGGACCGACGGAGCGAGAACTTGGTTGCGGAGGAGGTATCGATCCCCATGGCCGGCGCTGCTGCTGATGACAAGGCTGGAGAGACAGAAGAAGCACACTGCTGTTCTCTCCCTGAGCATGCCACGGGTGATGTCGCGGCTGGAGACACCAAGCGTATGTCGCCGTCGGCCGTCGCCAATCGGCAGGAAAAGAGCTGCAACGTCGAGAACCAGCATGTTGTCGAGCGCCGCCGCTCCGCGAGGTGCTTGTCCATGAGCGCAGCGGTCGCCAGGCAGACCTCGTCCGTGCAGCGGTCTACGCGATCGAGGTCATCGACAGCATCATCGTTCGCGCCAACCGTACTCACGAACTGTGATGTCAACGTGGCAACTGCCCTGGCCAATACCCAGGCAGATGAGACCGAAAGGGGTCGCGTTGAAGGCAGCACATCATCACCACCACCACCACCACCGCCAGCAGTAACAGCAGCACCGGAAGAGCCAGTCAAGCGGTACCCAGCACCATCGGCACCGAGAGCTCAAGCGCCAGCGCCAGCCCTAGTAGATGCCGAAGACACCCCCCCGGCGTTGGCGGAGCTTACTTCTGCTCCCGCGCTCAAGGTTTGCCCGATAACAACAACAGCACCAAGGAGGAGGGCGTCAATCCCGTGCCACAGGAGCGAGAAGCACCCGGCGGCGCTGCGGCGTCGGCCTTTTTCAGTAGGGTCCGGTGTTCTCGACAGTCGAAACCTGTTGATCACTCCACCGGCTTTCGCAGCCCCACAGATCAACCCAGCCATCGGCAGCAACGGGTCGATCGGAGACCCTGGCAAAGCGGTTCCTCGTGGAAGCTTGGCGGAGCTTGCGGTTGGTGCTACGCCGTTGCGGCAGCAGCTCCCCTCGGCGACAGGGCGGCTGCCCGCCATCACTGTCGTCGAAGACATCGACGTGGCAAGCCTGCTCGCCGTGCCGGCCCACGCGGCGACTTCCGCGGTGTCGACCTGCTCCGGTGTGCTGGAGGGCTGCAGTCGTGTCCTGGCGCGAGACGAGGAGCCGACCACGCCTTGCTCGACGGGGTTCGCGCTCGTCGACTACGACACGAGCCCTTCGACAGCGGCAGGGTCATCCCCGGCCGCTGCGGTCCTTGTTGACTACGGGGCAAGCCCGCTCGGGGCTCCTCCGGCGGAGGTGGGGACGCCACCTTCGACGACGTGTGCGTCGCTGGCGGCGGCGCTCGTCGACTACGGCATGACCCCGTCGGTCTCTCGACTTCGGAAGGAAGACGACAGCAGCCCTTCACCGAGGTTGGACGAAGAGGGGTTTGCTCCGGACCCGGACGACCCAGCACCGGAGGACGGGGGGCGGGTGGAGGGGAAAGCGCGGGTCACCTCGGATCCAGCTGGGTCTCGTGGCGAGGCCCTCACACGCGGGGAGGAGGAAGAGGAGACGGCCGATGCCCCTTGTCTTTCTACCCCGGAGGCGGGGGGGACCGTTGAACTGTCGAACCAGGAGCCTATCGCGCCGAAAGAGATCGAGGCAGCTGGGGCTGAGCCAGTAGAAGCGGTCGCAGAAGACGGGGTAAGTGGGCTGAGCGAAGAGTCTGTCGTCGTTGCACCGGAGGGAAGTTTGGTTGCGGCGGGTGTCGCCGGTCGTGCGGAGACTCCGGATGATGGCGAAGAGGCAAAGGCTGACGAGATGGCGGCAGCTGTGGCGTCTACAGAGACAGAGGCAGCGAGTAATGCACGGGGCGAAGATCCGTACGCGGGCATGAGTTCGCGTGACGTTGCCCCGGGAGGTGCTGAGGAGGCCATGGCTGGCGTGGCGGCGGCAGGAATTGTGCCTACAGAGACGTCGAACGACGCTCAGAGTGAAGCACCGCTCGCGGTGGCCATGGATCTTGATATCAGCGCTGCTCTCGAAATGGTCGTGGCTGGCGTGGTGGCGAGAATGGCAGTGTCTGCGGAGGAAGATTGCAGTGCTCGGGCTGAACAACCGCTGGCGTCGGTCATGGGACTTGACGCCCCAGGTGCCGTCGAAGAGGCCATCGTCGACGAGGTGGTGACACCAACGGTGCCAACCGAGCCAGCAGACGACGAGCAGGGCAGAAATCCACTTGAGGTAGCCGCGGAATCCGACGCACCAGCGATGGCAGTGCCGGAAGAGATCGTTCCGGAGGTTGCCGAGGAGGTACCGTCGACTGGGCAGCTGGACGTCGACGAAGCTACTGCTGCTCAGCCGGCCATGCTTACGTGCGAAGGACCGCCGGCGAGCCCGGGAGCAGTGGCCGGCACGGACGTAGCATCGCAGAGCAACGGATCGAGCTCGTCAGTGGAGCATGCTCAGCAGGATTTGTCTCCTCCGGTGGTACAAGAGGTGCGCGCTGTTCGTCGGTCCACGAGGCGTAGGTCAGTTGCTTTTCCGTCGGCGCCTTGCTTCGAAACGACGCTGAGTAGCGTCACCGCCGTCAGCGCTGACGCCTGTGGTGACAACCAGGGCATTGAACCCGTCGAGGAGACACGCCCTCCTCATCGCCCGAGACGGCGGCGATCGGTTGCACCGGAAAAGCCTCGGTCGGTAGAAACACCGGCACCGACACCGGCACCGGCACTAGCACCAGTTCCCGCTCCAGCTCCCCCAGTCATGGATCTTGGTATCACCGGTGCTCTTGAGGGGGCCGTGGCTGGCGTGGTGGCGAGAACGGCAGTGTCTGCGGAGGAAGATTGCGATGCTCAGGCTGAAGAATTGCGGGCGTCGGTCATGGGACTAGACGCCCCAGGTGTCGTCGAAGAGGACATCGCCGACGGGGCGATGACGTTAACGGTGCCAACCAAGCCAGCAGACGACGCCCAGGGTGGGTATCCACTTCGGATGGCCGCGGAATCCGACGCGGCAGAGACGGCGGTGACGGCAGAGCTCGTTCCGGAGGTTGCCGAGGAGGTACCGTCGACTGGGCAGCTGGACGTCGACGAAGCTACTGCTGCTCAGCCGGCCGTGCTTACGTGCGAGGGACCGCCGGTGAGCCCGGGAGCTGTGCCTGACATGGACATAGCATCGTGGAGGCACGGATCGAGCTCGTCAGTGGAGCATGCTCGGCAGGATTTGTCTCCTCCCCCAGTGGTAGCAGAGGTGCGCGCTGTTCGTCGGTCCGCGAGGCGTAGGTCGGTTGCTTTTCCGTCGGCGCCTTGCTTCGAAACGACGCTGAGTAGCGTCAACGTGGTCAGCGCTGACACCTGTGGTGACAACCAGGGCATTCAACTCGTCGAGGAGGCACGCCCTCCTCGTCGCCCAAGAAGGCGGCGATCGGTTGCACCGGAAAAGCCTCGGTCGGTAGGAGCACCGGCACCAGCACCAGCACCAGCACCAGTTCCAGTTCCAGCTCCCTCCGTCATGGATCTTCAAATCGCCGGTGCTCCTGAAGAGGCCGTGACTGGCGTGGTGGCGAGAACGGCAGTGTCTGCGGAGGAAGATTGCGATGCTCAGGCTGAAGAATTGCGGGCGTCGGTCATGGGACTTGACGCCCCGGATACCGTCGAAGAGGCCATCGCCGACGAGGTGGTGACATCAACGATGCCAAACGAGCCAGCAGACGACGAGCAGGGCGGAGATCCACTTGAGATAGCCGCGGAACCCGACGCGCCCGAGACGGCGGTGCCGGAAAAGCTCGTTCCGGAGGTTGCGGAGGAGGTACATGTACCGTTGACTGGGCAGCTGGACGTCGACGAAGCCACTGCTCGGCCGGCCGTTTTTGGGTGCGAGGGACCGCCGGTGAGCCCGGGAGCTGTGGCCGGCACGGACGTAGCATCGCGGAGCAACGGATCAAGCTCGTCAGTGGAGCATGCTCAGCAGGACGTTTCTCCTTCTCCAGTGGTACAAGAGGTGCGCCCTGTTCGTCGGTCCGCGAGGCGTAGGTCGGTTGCTTTTCCGTCGGCGCCTTGCTTCGAAACGACGCTCAACAGCGTCAGCGCTGACGCCCGTGGTGACAACCAGGGCATCCAACCCATTGAGGAGTCACGCCCTCCTCGTCGCCCGAGACGGCGGCGGTCCGTTGCTCCGGAAAAGCCTCCGTTGGTAGGAGCACCCGCACCGGTTTCATCTCCAGCCCCCCCTGCAGACCCCACGTCGTCGGAGTACTCGTCGTCACCCATAGGCTCCGGGCTCTGTGACGTGCAGTTCGCGTTTCCGGTGCACGAAGGCCGTCCTCCTCCTCGTTCCGGAAGGCGACGATCGATCGCGCCAAAGAAGATCCTCTCAGCACCAGCAGAAGCTGCAACGTCGACGGCGGCCACAACACCGACAGCGGCGGCGGCGGCGGCGGTGCCACCGTTTGGAGAGGCGACATCGTCGGTGGCGGCAAAGGAGAAGAGCCTTTCTTCGACCGATGCGGGGCCCAGCGACGACGACCAGAGCAACCTGCCTTCTCAGGAAGGGTCGTCGCAGCCTCGCCGCCCACGACAGCGCCGCCAGCCTCTCGCAGCGACGCCGACGGAGCAGCAGCAAATCGCGGCGGCGGTGCTGCCGCCCGTCGGCGTGGCCGACACGGCGGCGTCCTCCGAGGAACAGGGGACGGCCAGGGCAAGAGGAAAAGCTTCTGCTGCCACTGCCGCTGCCGATGCCGCCGCTCATGCCGCTGCGGCCGCCGCCGCCGCCGCTGCTGCTGCTGGTGTGCAGCAGGACGAGAGCCTTCCGGAACAGCAGGTTGCCTTGCCGAGGCGTCGCTCGACTAGGCGCAAGTCGATACGGGGCTCGCGGGCGGGAGGGTCGCTGCTGGAAGAGAACACAGCGGCTCCACAAGTGGGAGCACCCGTCTTCTTGCAAGAGGGGCCGGGTGGCGGTGGCAGCGGCGGTGTCGGCGGTAGTGGGCGGGCCTTGGTCGTGGAGGCGGAGCGGGGAGGGGCACAGGCCACGACCGACGTTGCCGTGGAGCAGGGGGGAACGGTCATGGCTGGCTTGTTGAACAAGGTGAGTCCGCCGCGCAAGAGAAAGGTTGATGCTGCTGTACATCAGGTGTTGGCGTGCGTAATATGAGGCTGGAGTTCTCTCGTTGGGTGCCAGAGAATGTGCCCATGTGTATGTATTACGACAACACGCAGAGATCTTGTGTCCTGCAGACGTGTATGTGCCCAGCAGCAATTCAACAAACGGGAGTATATATCCGGTAGTCGATGTGGAGGCGTTCGATGGTGGACCACGTGCGTTCCTTTTGTCATTCATCCCGCGTCTGTATGCAATTTTCGGCAGACGGAAAAGTCGTAGGCCTTGTGACGTACTTCGTACAACTGCGGCAGCTCGTCGATGAGACGGCTGATCGTGCCTCCGCTGGAAGTGATCCCCCGTACGAAAGCGCATGATTACACTCGCCTGGCTCTTACAGCTACTCCAGTCTTTTTTCTACAGAGTGATTTTGTTTGGTGTGGTTTGTTGTGTTCTTTTCGTGTTGTTCCGGGACGGACGGACTGGTTGGAAATAACTCTCTCTCACGCTGTTGTTGGAAACAAGCCACCACATTGGCTCGAACTTACAGCCAAATTACTTTTTCCGACACAACTAGCAGCTAAATATTCTGCGGTACCTTTGCTGCTCTCCCGACGAGGTGTTCGAAGACGGGTTTGCCACGCGTATTCCCGCACCGCGCTCAGGGGCCCATGCGTGTATCACATTTCCGGCGTTACATACTCGGGGTGCTCGCAGTAATCCTCCTGTCGTGACCGCTGTGCCTCCACCCGCTCGCTCGCTCGCTTGCTCACTCCCACGACAACAAAACAACAAGTGCCTCGAGGCGGCGCTAGCGGAGGTGCCGCAAGGCGACGACGTCCTGCCGCTCCTGCGTGACCTGTCGGACGCGTGGATGGACGCGGAAGCGTGCGCCCTCAAGAACACCGACGACGCCGACGACGACGAGATGCACCGGAGGGGCGCCGTGGTGGGGGCAGGTGAGAGGTGGCGTTAAGCTCCCGGCGTGTGTTTTGTGTTGAGGCGTTGGCCGAGCTATCCGGGGTGAGGACTTGGGGAGTGTTTCGCGTTTTGTTTGTCATGGTGTATGTCGTAGAGTAGAGGGTACGCAGGTGGCTATGCGCCCCCTCCCCGCCGCCGCCCTCGAACTGTACGGACCGAGGTGTTCCATGCGATAGTTCTGTCGGCTATGGCACTCTACTCGGCAGCCCGTTTGTGGGCAACCTTGTTCATACCCCTGTCGGTACTATATGCCGGGACAGGTGGACCACCTGCCGTTTTCCGTCATGTTTTTGGGAGGATGAAACTCAACAGAATGAACTCAACAAGTAGCAGTATTGTGTGACCAGAGTTTGAGTTTGAGGAGAGTATCGGAAACAGTTGGGATTTCGTCAAACCTTGCAAGACGACCAACACTTGCACCGACAGATGCTGCCGCCTGCTGTGCAATGAAACCCCCGGCGACCAACTACCGCACCCCCCGCCCTGCCCACCCTCCCGCGAAAAACTTACCGCCCGGCCACCGCATCAGCAGCACGAACTGCAGAGGCAACATGTCGACGAGCGGCGAAACAGTACAATACAGCGGGGGCAATCAACCCAACGCGGCGCTTATCGACAACCCTGTGAGCTTGCTCGAGGTATCGACGAATCCATTCATTCGCTTTCGCCCCGTTGCCTCTCCCCCTCCCCGCGTGTTGTGCCTCTGCTCCCGCAGGCAATGCCGGGCCGCCTAGAGTCGTGCGCCTGTGCGCGTTCAACTTTTCCACGGTCGGCATGCCATTGGACACCGCCACCGGATCGGAGCTGCAAGGTATGCACATTAGAGCTCACTCGATGCGATCGCGCTTAACGTGGTTGTCGTCTCTTTTGTGGCGCGTCTTATTGGGCACTGGGTTGTCCAAAGGCTTGCACTAATAGGGCACGCTAGTTCTATACACCCACCTCCCCCGTTCCGTTCCGTTTGGTGTTGGTCTGTGCTTAAGAGGTCGAACTCGCCTGTTTTATTTGTTCGTGCAGACTTTTTTTTTGGTGCTCGTTGATTTTTTGTGCTTTTACTGCGCGCCCCTCTGCGGCAATGTGCACGCGCAGCGCTGGAGGTAGTGCGGTGCCTGCAAGGCGTCGTCACCGCCCTGCACAAAATAGAAAATTTCCACCGGCGTTGTAACTTGGTCCTCAAGACCACCGGAGGCAGCGGCGACGAGAGCAACGGTAACAGCCACAGACTCGTCGCGTGGAGAGCGTTTCAGCACGAAGTTCGTGCTGCTGCTGCGAATGGTAATGCTTCAGGAGGAGGAGGAGGGGCGATAGCAGCGCCCGGCGGAGGAGGAAGGGGCCGTCAAGGACGGCGGCCGTCAGCGGGCATGAAGGAGAAGGAGATGGCCAAGGCGGGCCTTGTCCTGCTGGGAGAACTGGAGCCCCTAGAGAGAAGCCCCGAGGTGCGGCGAAGGGATCAGGAGTCGGGGGGTCGCCAGCGGGGACGGGGAGGGGGATGCATGTACTTTCGTTTGTTGTTCTCGAGTAGTGGTGATGATGAATCTCTGGGTTAGCAATGGGCTACAATACTACCGCCTGTTGGATTGCACCAGCTATTCATCGGGCAACAACATGGGTTTTGCTTTGTAGGGGGAAGCGAGAGTGCGTGCGTATGGCATTTAGTCGAGATCAGCGAAAAGCAGTTGGCTGATTATTTTGTGTGCCCCTGCTGCAAGGCTTCGCGCACGGAACGGAACCTTCTCTCCCTGAAAAGACCGTGAAGAGAAACATACGCAGGCGTCCTTCCAAGGCCGTGCAGTCGTTCGTGCGAGACCTAGACTACGGGTTCAGAGTTGCTCTCCTGCGGATAGTCATTAGAAAATAGGTCAATAGAAGTGTCCCTGTGCCAGCCTCCCCCCCAACCATCACCGAACATCAGAACACTACATGTACACCCGTGCGTGAAATTTAGTACACCCCCCCCCCCCCCCCCCACTCGCGGTTTGATGACCTTTCGCGTGCTGTGCGGTGTGTCCTGCAGTGCTTTATGGCGCGATTTGAGTAAAACACCCTTTGGGTGGGTCGGTCGTCCAGTGTCGGCTTTTCATGACTTGTCTTTCGCGTAGGAAACCCTTGGGTCCAGTGCCCTTTTTCTACTGCTGTCACTGTTCAGGAATCTCGTCTCGGTATATCGAAACTATTCCTCCCCCTCCCCCCACATCATACGCGTGATTCATACCATACTAGATCTCACCCCCTTACACCGTACGTACTTCTGTTGCTCCTCTCAAGGGTCTTGTCAAGAGTCCGCTGAGGGATCGGCTGGCGAGCATGCTGTCCTCCCTGATCCGGTTCCACCTCAGGATTCGCCTCGACGCTCCGCCGGAGAGGCTAACCAGGGCCCCCGAGGCCCTCCCATCCTGCGGGGACCCGTCTTACGCGGAGGCAAAGAGGAGGGCCGAGGTTCTGCCCCCCAGTCACTTCAGCAAGGTGTGTGCACGATGGAGATGGAGGGCGGGAGGTCAGGGGGGGGCACGTCTTAGGTGTTATGACCACTGACCACGCGTCCTCCAGAGGACGGAGCGCGCGCGGGGGGGGGTGCTGGGGTGGGCAGGGTCGTGAAGGTTCGACGGAGGCCAGTCAGGGGGATGATAAAGCAAGGCTACTGCATGCTGCTGTTTATTGGTGATGTGTTCTTTTGTGGGGTTATGGCAGGGGTCTAACAATGCCGAAGTATCGGGGAAACCCTCGGATGGTTGTGTCAAGAGTTTTGCCCAGGGAGGTTCCTAGGAAGTCGTCGGAGAATTTTGTCCGGAAGGACTACAGTCTGTTGAGGGAGGGAGGGCTCTTGGGGGAGAAGGGAGGGGGGGGTGTACTCATAGTCGTGCATGCCGTAGTCGTTAGACCATTGACCTCGCATCCCTACAAAGCCGGGACGGAGCACGCCGGGTTCTCACCGGACCAGGCTATCACATCGCCAAGCGCGAAGCGCCGTGAAGTATTCGGCGAGTCGCATGAAGGGTGGGCTGCATCCTGCTAAGGGTGTTCGGCATCTTGTGCTTACTTCCTTGCTTATGGATGACAGCTGCGTATGACTTAATTTATGTTCTGGTGCTTTCACTTCCAGAGACAGTTGGAAGCGCTGTGTAACTGCCTCGAGGGTGCTTGACCAATTTAACACAACGTGCAACTATCCCCTTTGCGCGGAGTGAGGGTTCTCGACCCCGCACAACATAATGTACTCGACCACCATTCATGGTTACCGTAAAAAAGAAAAACAAAGGCAAAAAAAAAAAGCGGTAACCTGTTGCCGAGCTCACGAAGTGATCGGATTGTTTTACAACATCGCTGCCAAGCGACGAAAACCCAACCCCGATGGCAAACACCAGGGGGGGCGGGGGGGGGGGGAATAGACGCTGCTCATCAGGCAAAAGCCCCCTTTCCCGCTACTTTCAAGGCAGAAGTTAAAAAAAAAATGCCAATAAACTCCAGGTCCCTTGAAAATGATCTGCAGTGACGTTGTCGGCCCGGTCCTTGCCTGCATTGCTTGTGTAGCGTGCTGCTGAAATTCCCCGTGCGCCGCTTGGTCGTGTGATGGGCTGTCTCCACCGCATCTATCATACCCTCCTGGCATGCCTTGCCGTGTGTGCGATGCATACGGCATGACTCTGTCGCTCTCTCCTCGCGCGCATCCGGTGCACAGGTTCACACGGTGGTGGATGTTTCCGAGACGGACGCAACGCTCGGCGCTTCCTTCTCAAAGGCATTGTTCAGGGTACGTACGAAATCATCATTGCGTACTCTGAATGGTTTCCAGCACCGTGCATATCCGCCCTGCTGCTGCTGCTGCCGCTGCTGTTTCTCAGTGGTGGTTGTAGGTTGTGGTGTGTTGCTGTTTTGGAACCAAGGTAATGTACGGAGTTCTTGTGCTGCAAGGGATCACGTGCATCTTATCTTATCTTATCTTATCTCTTGGCCTTGAAGGGAACACGACAACACGACACCCTCGAACCACAGACAGACATCATATCAAGGGACTAATTTTTCATGCTCCAAGGGCGGTACTCCAGGGCAAAGGCAAGAAGATCGGTCGCACCCAACTCCTTTTCCGGCCGGCACAGCGAGCGTACACTGCTGTCTGTCCACGGTCACATGGAAAAAATATCGCTGCGGAGTACCGGCTTCGGCCCCACGCACTCAGGGCGAGATTGGTTACTGTGCCTCTTTTTTTTTCAGCGAACAGATTAAGAAATAGGCGGTTCTGACAACATCTCCTTTCGGACGCCTTCGAAGGAAGAACACAGCCAGCAAGTATAATCGCCATCGCCCCAAGCTCCTTTCCCCTGTAAATAAAAATCGACCCCGCCTGCTGCCTCCGAATTTTCGAATTTTCTGTTGTCTACTCGACGTCGTGAAATTGCCATTGTGCCCTTCCTGCTGGCGTTGCTCCTGTTTGACCCATACAATATATTCATACGACCAGCTGGAGGGGTTCTCCTGCGAGATGGCCGTCGAAGTTCTCTCCGCTGCGGAGGCGTTCGCTGCCGCGGACCAGACCAGGCTCGCCGAGAGGGACGGCGGCTGCCCCGCAAGGGTGGAGAGCGCGGGACGGCTCCTGTCGGCCACGGCGGATGTTGTCGATGGTAAGATGCAGGAGTTATACAATGCAAGAATGCCTTCGCTAAGACGCTAGATCAGTATGTGAAATAGAAAGGGGGGTTTTCGTATCCCTAACCCTATCCCCACCCCCAACTCCTACTATACTATACTAAACTATAACCAAGATTAATATACTATACTATACTATGCTATAACCAAGAATAAGATCCTCGCGAAGGCTATCGCATGTCGAGAGACGGGAGTCAGGCAGCAGGCCTGGCCGTGGAGGTAGACGCCCGCCCCTCCTGCGGGTGGTGGCGCCCTCTCCTGGCTACCTGACGGGGGGGGGGGGGGGGGGGG